CGGTCCTGTCTTTGGAATTCACCCAACACCGATCACATGCTTGCAACTGGTATCAACTATTTGCTGACTCACATCCTGCATGTCTTCAATCTCCACATGTCACATCTTCATTCGTTCGACTGCCACTAACTAATTTTACCGCATATAATTTTAATACAGTTTCTTATTGATAGACGTAAAATTCACGTGCAACGCACAAAGCAAAAGTGTGAGGCCCGATAAATTAACTCCGAAAATTCTTGAACGTTTATTTTTAATTTTTTCAGTTTGAGTGGACGAAGAAAGCGATAATATAGGTCAGTCACTTTCTCTACCCCGTTAAAGGAGGGTGCCTAAAGACAGCCAATGAGTGAGTTCCAAATGGACTACTTTTTTAGGACGGATAACTAGCTAGAAGTTTGTGGAAGATGTTAGAAAGTGCTATACAAATTGCAATTTTGATAATGTTGGTAATATATGATATCGACAAGAGAAATGCCATGTGTAAAAGAAGACCAATTTGTGGGGCCTTTTACAAATATTATTAAAAGGATCATGCAGCAAATTGGATGAAACATCTAGTAGCTAAGAGTAGAAAGAGCAGAAGAAGAGTAAGTAATTAGTGATGGCAATTTGTGCGGTGATGAGTTCATTTAGTCTCAAGCCCTCTCCCTTCACAGTGGAAAAGAGAGCAGTGCGTGGCCTGCCATCACTAGGAAGGTCTTCATCCTCCAGCTTCAGAGTTGAGGCCAGCGGTGGCAAGAAGATCAAGACCGACAAGCCATATGGTCCGTCTCTCTAACTTCTAGTGTGTTCAGCACGAAAATCAATTTTTACGAAAAATATATTTTAGAAGTTTTGGAAAATATTTTTGGTACTAAAATGTCTATATACTAGTTGGAGTAATTAATGACATTTAGGAAAGTTATTTGCTCTCTTACTCTTACGAGGAAATTAAACATTCGAAAATGACTTTATTGCTGAATTATTATTTTTTTTTATTTTTTTTTTTAGCAAAATGAGCTTTGTCATACCAAACACATTCCCAATCAACTACAGTTTTGGTATCTTTGTCCCTGCATGTTTACATTTTCACTCTTCATTTTGTCCAGCATTTTAGATTAGACTGTCCTTTTACAATATATAGATTCTTATTTTTTATTTTCCTTTGTAGAGTCTTTCAGTGTGGTTTTTCCTTTTGATAACTGTGAATACATCTGAAAGAGATAGAAATATTATGCAAAAAAATATTTGCTGATTGATATGACAATTGGTGTGTAAATTAATTAGGAATTAATGGAGGTATGAACTTGGAAGATGGTGTTGATGCCTCGGGCCGGAGGGCAAAGGTTTGTCCCTAGACTTGACACACTTTCTCAACAGAACATGTCATGCGCATTCTATCTGTTAAATAAAAAATAAAATTCGTGACCACATGGAAAAACGGAGCAAGAATGTTATATCGATATTAAGAAACATTAAATATGCAAAAAAAAAAAAAAAAAAAAAAAAAAAAAAAAAAAAAATTATTCAGAACATAGTTACTAACACTTAGTGTTATTGCTATCCTAGAATTTGAAACCTACAAAGCTAAAATCGTAGTTCTGTCTTTAAAAAAGATTGACACCATTTCTTGTTGACTGCATTTGTTCGATGGCCACCCCCTTTCTCAGTTTCCGGTAGCATTGGCTGACACTTAAATCTAACATGATCATTCGGAAAATCATATCTGAATTTTTAAGAAGATTGTGTATAAAGCTAATTTGTTTATGTAAAGCAATTGTTAGGATTATGTAATTAAAGGAATGGTGTAGAAGTAGAAAAACTTTATGAGATCTTTACGTATTGATGAAAAAACTAATATGGAGTAATAAAGTTACCAATTAATAGCTTCGATCGGACTATCACATGTAGTCATATTAAAATGGTGGCTATGTGCAGGGAAAGGGTGTTTACCAATTCGTGAACAAATATGGAGCTAATGTTGATGGATATAGGTTGGTGATTCTGATTATATTCCCAATAGTAGATAATGATGCCCCGTAGATTACTCTAAAAATGAAGCATTAATTCATATATATAAATACTTTGATTAAAATGCAGTCCTATCTATAACCCAGATGAATGGTCCCCGAGTGGCGATGTCTATGTTGGCGGTATGACTTGCAATTATTATTATTATTTTTTTATTTTTTTATTTTTTTTTTTATTATTTTTACTTATAACAATAAAATAACCATGCTTTCATTTCTTTACTAAATAATGTAGTCAGTATAATTGAAAATTGCAGGTACCACTGGCTTAGCCATTTGGGCTGTCACGTTGGCTGGCATTCTTGCAGGAGGTGCACTACTTGTATACAACACAAGTGCTTTGGCACAGTAGATTAATATGCCTACATAAATTTAACTTTTGTCCCAGCTTGACAAAATACGTAAAGCAATTATGAATGCAGGATTTGATTATAAGAATGTTCAAGATTTAATATATATGTATAAAAAATATAATATTTAACGTGATGTTGTCTTATTACTATAGTTTCAGCCTCGGTTACATCCAATATGCATGTTGTTTTGCTTGGACTACTCTATGATGAGATTTTAAAGTAGGGATTTTTTCGTTCCTGTAAACTATTTGAAATTTTATTATTAAAAATGTTCACGATTAGTTATTTATCCGACCTAAACAAGTTTTATCTATAAAATATATATATTTGTTTAAACTAGAATTCTTTCTACAGTAGTCTTCCTTATTTAGACGCGGAATTTTGGGATCGTGTATATTTCTTCAGAAATTTTACTGACACAATCATCGCACCTTAATCAAGCCAATGTATTTGTAGAATCTTGCTATTAAGCTGATTTTCTCTGATTATCATCGCACCATAATCAAGTTCTATTCTCTGGTTTTCTCTTTTTTCCTCTAGGTTTTCATAAACTAAGGTTTTGAAAAAATATTTGCACACAATTAGCTATAATTGTATTGAATTTCGCGACATAATGTCAAAATTAGCGATTATGCTTTAGTTAAATGGCCACTGGGATAGCGTTGGGAGATACAAAGATTTTAATGTTGATGGAACTGTAGTCAATGAAGATTCAAATTATAGTCAATTGAATTCTGCAATTGCAGAGCATCTAATGATCGATACCTCCGCAAAAATCATCGAAATCAAATACACTGTCAACGAACATTGTCCTCCAATGGAAATTCAGAACGATATGGGAGTTCGAGTATACATGGAGACGAAAAACAAAAATAAAAATTTAGGAATGTATCTGTTGTGTATAACAGTGTGTGATTTCGATTTGGAATGCAGTATATCTAATTCGAACACAATTGCAGGTTTGCTCTGTTTTTTTCAGTGCTGATGTTTTGTCAATATCACGTGTTCTATAATTTTACTACAACTTATCTACAATAATACTACATAACAAATGTAGTTCAACTGTTATGCCTATTCAAGTATTCAATTTCACGTATTCTATAATTTTACTACAACTTATCTACAATAATACTACATAACAAATGTAGTTTAACTGTTATGTTTATTCAAGTATTCTGTCAAATACTGAATACATAAATATACAGAGATCTGAATTGTAGATACTTTTAATTGAGTGGAGGTTCATCTGATTATCGTATGTCTAACGTGGTACAATTGTCAAGCAATTGTAACACAATTGGAGAAGTATCAGGAACAGTGAAGTTGATTGATAGGCCAATATCTACGGCAATTGTGGAATATGAAAGTATCATCATAACAGAATATACGCCAAATGTTATTGAAGTAGGTCAAGTTTACCAAGATAAGCAAACAATTGTCAATGCAATGAAGCATTATTCTGTCATGAATAAGTTTCAATTTAGGGTGAAAAGGTCTAGTGCAAGAAGGTAGGAACATTTCATTTGTCAAATTCATATTTTTGTATAATTTATAGTTTTTTTGTATATAAACTGTATATAAATTATTTAATATAAGATTTATGTGCTTAAACAGCCTCGTATTTTGTAGCTACATTTTTCATAACTTTTTTTTAATTATTTTTATTCTGTAGTTACTGTCTCGTATGTGTTGGGGACAATTGTACATGGCACTTCAAGTCCACCAGCATAAACGAATCAGCATTATTCAAGGTTCGAAAATTCAACATCTTGCACACATGCTCTTTGATGGACAATACATACATACAATGCAAACCTAATGCCGTGGTAATTGGCAGCATGGTTGTGCCAAAAATATGCGAATCCTAAGACAATATACACACCATAAGACATACAAACCGATATGTTGTCGGATCATGGTGTGAACTTAACATACATGCAAGCTTGGAGAGCAAAGGAAAAGGCTTTGAAATTTTTGAGAGGTCATCCTGTTGATTCCTACAGTCGTTTTCCAAGTTATTTGTATATTCTGGAGAAGACTTATCCGGAGTCGGTAGTGAAATTGCAGAAAACTGAAGATGACTATTTCTTGTATGCATTTATTGCACTTAATACGTCAATCATGGGTTGGGAGTATTGTAGGCCAGTTGTAGTAGTTGATGGTACCTTCTTGAAGTCGGCATAGGGGAATCATATTAACAGCTAGCACAATGGATGCAGCAGGTATTGTAAATTAATTGTAGAAATATTGTTACAAAGTTATTTTTTAGTCTGTATTTTTTATACTCTCAAGTTTTATTACAGAAATTGAATTTCTTCTTGCCATCTGTGTGATAGGTAGCATATTACCACTGGCATACGCTGTTGTTGATTCAGAAAATAACGCATCATGGAGGTGGTTTTTGGAGCAATTCAAACATGCATATGATGAAAAACCAAATATGTGTGTTGTTTCGGACCGGAATAAGAGTATCTTGAAGGCAACATCTACTGTTTATACCGGCATTCCACATTATGCTTGCATGTGGCATATTTGAACAAATGTAAGGTCAAAGTTCAAGAAGGGTCATCTAAAGTTAAGTGAACTGTACTTTTTCACGGCACGATCATACACGCTTGATGAATTTAATGAAAGAATGTCAAAGATTGAAGAGATCGACACGCGTGTTAAAGAATACCTATACGATATTGGCTATCATAGATGGTCTCGGGTACATGTTATGGTGAATAGAACGTGGACGATGACATCAAACATTGCAATGTCGTTGAATGCGGTAACAAAGGATGCAAGAGAGCTAACCGTAACAGAACTATTAGAGTACATGAGGACTCTTCTTGAACGCTGGACTAATGAAAAGTTATTGAATGCAAAGAGTACATTCACATACCTTGGGAAAACAATACAACAAAGAGTTGGAGGACAATAGGACATTATCGCAGAAGATGAGAGTAAGCTATAGCCAGTAACATCAGATCATTGATTCCATCAACTAAATATAAACTGTTAATTGTAGAAAAATTGTTGTATAATTGTAGTTATTTTATTTTTATATCTGTTGCTGACAACTTATTGTGTGTTTGTAATGAAATTGTAGGTGAGGTCTTCCACATATCATATCCATACTGTGATAGATGGTGTGAAGCGCTTCATTGTTTGCCTTCAAAATAAGAGATGTAGTTGTGGGCAATTTCAGCTTGATGAACTTCCTTGTGCACATGCTTTGGCGGCTTTGAGGCACAGGAATGAGTATTATGAAAACTATTATTCTCCTTATTACACGAGGGAGAGCCTTTTGCAGACTTATGAAATGCCAGTAGACCCATTGCCTGACGAAAGCAAATGGAATGTGTCACAACATATATCTGAAGAAGTTGTAATGCCAGCTACTAGAAAAGGACAGCCAAGGATACCTCAAAAATAAAGATGCAAACCATATGATGAAGTAAATGCAAAGAAGTACAAGGTTTCATGTGAAAACTGCGGACTAGAAGGGCATAACAAAAGATCTTGTATGAATGCTCCCAAAAGGAAATAAAAATTAATACAGTCACAAAAAATTTTTTTCTTGAGTATTGTTGATGATAATCTGTACTTTAAGACATATGAAGTTGTATTTATTTTATTCTAGAGAATTATAGTTGAGGTGTAATTGTATTGATAATTTGAATAATGTATGTCCCCTATAATGAAATATTTTCAACTCTTAATACAATTGGTTTGTAGTTGTTTTGTTTAAATACTGAGTTTATTTACTTCTCAGCCTTTCCTAACAACACTGCTTAAAATTGAATGGATTATGTATTTTTATATATTAGTTGTAGACATAATTGTAGTTAAACTGTAAAGAAATTATATGATAACAATATCGAGATCAAGTACTAACAACTTTCAACCAAAAAAAAAAACCACAGATGTTTTCTATTCTAAGTAGTAGAATTCTGGACAAAATAATAAATAAAAAAAAAGGTAAAACAACTTTAGCACAAATCTGCTACAAATAAATTGTAGCTGACTTGTTCTTAGTTAATAATTTGTCTACAACTTTACTACAAACCAGCAACAACTAAACAATTTAACTATAATTTTTCTATTGAAAAGGGCAACTAATTCTTCTTTTTCCGGACTTGTGTTCTCTCGTTCACAGCTGGTGCACCTTTTCTTCTTGCTAATCTTCCAGTCACCTCACTTTCACTAATTGCACCAAGCTCTTGCTTTTTCCTAGCATAATCCCAAAGTAGCGCTCCATAGCGTTTACGATGTTGATCAATATCAGAAAGGTATTCCTTTGAAATCGCTAGCTCTCCAATGCTGACATATTCTGCAAATGCCGCCACGTATACACAACAGTCACTGCAAAAACAAATAAGGAAAAATATTTAGCATTCAGTGTAAAATATAATTTGTTAAATAGATAGAAGGAAAAATAAATTTTTCATATAGTGATTCCTCTTTTTGCTAGGGTATCTCACCGACCAACCACTGAATGTCAAGAGGGTCAGTAACACCTTTTTCAATGTATGCCTTTGTGTTCTTGTAGTTGATGTCCGGATGGTTGCCATAGAAGCCGGTGCATGATAAGTAGAGGGGAATCATAACAGCAAACTTGTTGATAACATATTCAATAAGGTTGTAATTTCGTGAAGAGACCATAGAATCATAAATATATCGAACCCTATCGATAATGTCAAACACAACCAACAACCAATGAAATGTTTTTACATTGTTTATGGGCATAATCACAAAATCAACTTTATTCCATGTAACATTTGCAAATAACTTGTACCCCAATATGTATTCTGATACGACATCCTGGGGTTTGACAACAGCAAGCTTCTTATCGGCGGGAGCATTAATGTACCTCTGAAAAAAAAATTAATTCTAGGAACATACAGTCAGTGGTTGCAAAACGTGTTTTGTTTTGAGGACCATACTTTCCTCTCTTCCTCAAATTGTATAAAATAACATCAATGTATTGTAAAAAAAAATAGATTTCATTATTTTTCAATGCTTCATACAATTTAACTACGATTTTTAAACAAAAAACCTATAGAATTCTAAAATAACAGAATACTATAGCTAATCAGTAAATTCTTCTAGGGTATGTGTGTACCGTGTCATTGAGGACTTGTCCAAGATGTGCCAAAGTATAAAACCACTCCTTTTTATCAACTTTCTTTACTCCAAGATCACACCACGGCTGAGCTGGTTATCTTTTAAAGAATAAGGCGCATTCCTCCTATTTAAACACATAGCAAGTAAAATTATTATATAGTTTCAACTGGAAAGCCAAATATTGTATGCACTCGATAATATAAAAAAATTGTATAATCTAACCTCTTTGACACTGTGTCGGTACCAAAGTACAACCACTTATTGAATTCTTTCAACAAGTCAGGATCAACATCGTCGCCAATAACCCATAGTAAATGGATGCTTGATGAGAAAAATTAGAGGTCCAATAGAAGTGCTTCCCCAAGAACTGTAAAAAGGGAGAAAGGGGGATCTGACATGCTTTCCAGGCTGCCTTGTTCTTCCTTGATGCACAGGGATTGTTTTATCTTCATTAAGCTCGCCGAACTTAACAATCTGGGAGAAGTTCTCTGGCATCTCAAAATCATCAAGTGTTACTTCCCTTTTTCCAGACTTGGAGTCATTGTCCGAATCACCTACATTAATGTAGTCGGCTGGTTCACCTTCAAAATTTAAAACAAAAGAACAACATTGTATGTTGCATCAGTTCTTTTTGGAAAAAAACTTATATAAAACCTAAAGTTCTTTTCCTACAATTATATTGTAACATATAATACCACTGAAATCTTTACAGCAATCGTCTCCTTATTATATAACGTTTGCTTGTTGAATGGGAGATTGCATTTTCGTAGTCTCCTTCTCCTCATTTAAATGCTCTCATTGTATGCCAACTTTAGCATCCTATTTTGGAGAGTCCACATGCATAGTTTTCTTCTCTGTTACAATAAATGTGTACAACTTAATAAAATTATAGATAATTTATAGTAAACAGAAACAACACTGTAGATAAATTATAGTTTAATTGTAGTAAATTTATTGAAATGTTGTCATGTAACTGAGATGCAATATGTATTGTGAAATATGTTGATAAAATATACTAAATTATACCTGCAGTTTCTTCATCCAATGCCCCTTGAAATTGGGAAGATAAGTCAACACCTACAAGAACATTCTCCTTATTTTGAATGTCATTCATGTGTCCTGTATCTAAGAAAATCATTGAAAATATAATGTAGATTATTTGTTGGTAATTTAGGCTATATGTAGATATATTGTAGATATAATGTAGATACATGTTACCCCTTGAAATTGGGAAGATAAGTTAACACCTACATGAACATTCTACTCATTTTGAATGCCATTCATGTGTCCTGTATCTAAGAAAACCATTGAAAATATAATGTAGATTATTTTTTGGTAATTTAAGCTTTATGTAGATATATTATAGATATAATGTAGATATAATATTAATATAATGTAGATACATGTTTTACTATTGCTGGCCGATACTAGTTTAGCACTACTGCCTGGATTGTGTTGATTGTTCTTTTCTTTGTAATGCTCATCATTTTTCGTAGAACTGCCAGTAAACTGCAAGCATAATTTGTTAGGCTATATACTTTATGAATGATAATAGAAACATAGACATGGTAAAAATTATTGTCCAAAATAAATATATTTCAAATGAAACCTTAGCATCAATGTTATTATCCTTTTGACTGTTTATTGCCTGTAAAACAGACTTGATGGAATCATTGAGTAGAAATCGAATGCTACTTAGTTCTTCAAAAACCTAAAGAACAAAAAAATGTTATAAAGTATCTTACAATTAGAGGCATATATATATATATATATATATATATATATAAATCAAGAATTAGGTATACCTCTTTCTTGAAGGTTCCAGGGTCTGAACCCACCTACATATTAAAATAGAAAGAGGTAACGAAATAATTTACATAACATAAATTAAAGAAACCGGCTAGGATTATGTATAGATATTACCTTATCAATATCTTTTCTTAATTTTTTTATTTGTTTCACAATATCTTTCTTGTCATGTATTCCCATTGCCTGCTTATGTCCAGATGGAGATGGAGCATCTATCTGATGCTCGGCCTTTGCTTCAACTTCTTTAAGGATGTATTCAATTTTGTCGGGCAAATTCATTCTTGATAGCTCTTTTGGGGCTTCAAGTATATTGGTGAACCGAGTGAAAATAAAATGTGAGAGACCTAGTCATAATATATATAAAATGTGTAGATAATTTGTATTAAATTGTTTGCCCATAAGTAAAAAATATTTACCTTTATCTATGATGGTTTGATCATTCTATCTTCCAATGCAGATAACCATATCTTGTCATTACTAGCTGTCCAGTTAAGTATGCGGGGAATTGAATTACCAACCCTTGTAGCTATATCAGTGTTGACTGTAGAGCAACACTCATACAACCGTATTTGCATAACGAGTGCAAAACCTCGAATGACATAAAAATGCACAGAAGGGTTGAGCTTGTGCCTAACTGACTGAAGCAATTGTGTATAAGCTTCGATACCCCATGCGTAATTCGCATACTGCCCCGATTCCACCAAGTAGAACCTGAAATGGTTTATCAAACCTAAATTATCTTTGTCTGAAGGACAGAGGGAGAATTTTATCAGATAGAGAATACACAGCTTGACTACATCCTCATCATTCACCCAACTACGGCTGGTTACAATTTGTTTCAAGTATGACTTCTCAACTTTTTTCTTGTTCAAAAAATAACTCCTCATTATTTTACTTTCATACTTAGTTGTGTAACCAAAGTCTGTCACTTATGTAAAACATCTAAGGTCAGTGATAAGGGCAAACTCTCTCAATCCAAAGTTCAGCCTCTCACCCGTTATCTCTACTGTAAAAACAGTCAGAACCAGATGCATTCAATTCATACTTCATGAGAAGGTGAATTGCCTGATTATGGATACATATTTTGGGCAGGGAAAGAAAATGCCCAAAACATGTCTTCTTAAATAACTTTAACCCATTTTTAGACAGTAACACTTTGATTTGGCCAGGAACAGCAGGGTCGGATAATGTCTAGAACATAGTGATGCTATAATCAATATCATGTTGTGCAAAACAATTTTTATTCTGCACCAAAAGAAACAATAAGTTAATAAAACTTGTTTGAAGAAAAGAAAGCAAAATAAAAATATTTCTACTACAATTTAGCTACAATTAGAAAGACATTAATACATTACATACAAGTAAGTTACAAAATTAGTAAACATATATAACAACTGACTGCAATGAAGCTATAAATGCACTGATAAAATTATGTTTAGAGCAAGAAATTAGAAAGTAACAACTAGACATAATATATACAATTTCTTTACAGGAAATGAA